CATTTTTGTAGATACTCTCATACAAGTTATTTTTTTAGAAACAAAAGGTAAAATTCACTATTATCCTTGAAAGGGGCTAACTTGTTAATGTATCATCCATTCTGTCCAATAACAAAGAATTCTTTGTTGATTTACTCAAGGGGATCAGCTTTTCAGTGAGTAAAGGAAAGACGCTTTGAATTACTTGCAAAAACTAATGTGAGTACCATAGTCCCAGTAAATATGAGTTCTTGGTATCCAACTAAACGATGTATGCATGAGGCCCTGGGACAGACAGAGACAGACAGACAGACAGACAGACAGACACACACACACACACACACACACACATGCACGCACTCACATCATCACTTTTAAATACCATACTAAATGTTAGCCTAGTATCATATTTTAGAAATCCCCAGGTGTCTATCCTGTCATTCTCAATTCTAATGTAGTATCAAACACAGTATTAAATGTACAAAAAAGTGTCCACAGTTAACTGTAGATGACATCTTTCAATATGTATTTTTTTATTTCACATTTTTCTACACTGATTTATTAGGGTAGTAATCTGTGTTGACTTGGAATGCACACCATGCCATATAGCGAGGACAAGGTTGTAATATATACTACAAGAATATACATTACACTGATGACGTCAGTTGTTTTATTACTGACAATTATAAACCGTGTTGTAATTTATTCTAATTTTGAACATTTTCAAATAAGAATATCTTTGTTTACTTTAAAAGTATTTTGATAAAGATGATTTAGATTTGGTCAAGCCATATGAAGTTATACAAGACTTTTTTGATGATGATGGAACCTTCATCAGTTTTGTTCATCAAGGTTATTCTCTCAGCATCAAAGCTATACACTTACAGAAAAGTTCAAGCCTCAATCATTTTCTCCAAACTGAAGCTATTGTAAAACTAACTTTAATTTTGGTAAATATGAAGGTTTTGCAGATCAAAATACCATGGATAGCGTGTGGACAAAAATAAAATTGAAATGAGGAAGAATCTTGTCCTAGGTTTAGGAGAACACAATTGTTTCAGGTCCTTGTTGCTTAGGAAAAGCAGAACTGACTGCCTCTCTGCTGCCTCTCACCTCTCTTTCAGGACCTAAAGTTTACAAAGCCATAGGTGTAAGTGGAATTCATAAAGTCTCAGCTACAAAATTCAGTTCACTGCTTTCAGAGCAAAAGGCTTCATAATGGATAAAAGCCCTGGCACACTATGAAGCAGGGTTGAAGAGAATGAACTGGATATGATGGAGACAAAAAAGTTCCAGGTGTTGTCATCTCTTAAATTCCAACTTTATTTTTTTCTCAATAGAAAGTAAAAAAAAAACCAAAAACACCATCTTACCTACTCTACAGAATAAAAAATAATATTAATAAAAATTTCCTTATTATAAAACACAAGACACAGTTTACAATATAGGTTTGTCAAAAGTGTTCCTATGCTGGGCACAATGATGCATACCTGTAATCCCAGCAACTTGGGAGGCTGAGGCAGTAGGATCATGATTCAAGGCCAGCCTCAGCATCTTAGTGAGGCCCTAAGTAACTCAGTGAAACTGTCTCTAAATAAAACATAAAAAGGGCTGATGATTTGGCTCAGAGAGATGCTGGGGGATGGGGGGATGGGATTAAGCATCAGTAACTTTAAGCTAAGTATCTTTAAAATATACTGTACAATATCTTTTCTTTCCTCTAGGTGATAGACTACATGTTAGAACCAGGTTTGAAGCCAACCACAGCAACTTAAGTGAGATTCTTAGAACCTTTTTTTTTTTTTTTAAAGGGTGGGGCTATCTGTGGTAGGGCCCATAAGCATAAGGCCATGAGTCTGAACCCCAGCACTGCAAAACAAACAAATTTCCTCCTAGGTCTAAACTTGCACAGTTCTATATCAACTTTTTGTTGTTGTTGTTGTTGTTTAAACTTAAGAGTTGAACAAATATAATACCCTATTGCTTAACACTTATGTTGGATGGAGGTTCAATTCTACAACTGAAAAAACAAACTTAACAAGAAAGCAAGAAAACTATAATCATTAATAAAAAGAGTAAGCAAATTCAAAATACAGTAATAGGTATTGATTAAACTCACCATATGAATCCAATACAGGTTTGAGATCTTTGTACAGAGTAATAACATTGACAGTTTCACGTACAGTTAGGTCTCTGTATTTGTACTGAAAAGCAAAAATCACAAAATAATTTAGAGTAAAACCAAGCCTTGTTATTTTATTCTAGATTAATTTTTTAAAAAAATCCTGTTTTCTTCATAGCACTCTTCTTAAAGTTAAACTGGCTTTTGTCAATTATTAATATTAATTAAAGCCTGAAAGGGCCTCAGTAACTTTCCTATCACCTATTTGAAACCTTTACCAAAGCTACCAACCTCCATTTTAGCTCTTCTGTCCAATGTAAAAGGACCTACCAAATAAAATCTTAGTCATTTTTGAAGACTTAGCTTACATCTCTCTCTCCCTCTTCTTAATGAATTCTTTTCCAGACTTCCCTTTAGCCCATAATTATCTCTCCTTTTTCCTTTTATTAAATCTTGTTCCATTCTTCTCCAGAAGATCCTGGCAGGAGATAAGATCAGGGACTCTGATCACAACACTTCCAAGCTCATCAATTGACAAACTGACCATGCACATGAAGTTTTTAGTGCTTCTTTCTTAAAAATGAACAGTTTATCTATTCCAAAAACAAATACTCCAATAAGCAAGTCGGGGACCAAAACAAACTGAAAACAAGAACATCCAGTTTGGTGGTCCAAGGCAGTAATTCCACTGCCTCTGGAGGAACTGGGACAGAGAGGGGAAGTGTTGAGGCAAGAGGATCACAAGTTCAAGGCCAGCCTCAGCAACAGATCCTTTCTCAAAACAAACAAAGAAACAAACAAAAAAAAAATCAAAAGGGGGTATGTGCTGTGATAAAGTGCCCCTGGGTTTAATCTTCAGTACCCAAACAAAAACAACAATAAAAAACCCTAACAAGTAACAGGTAAAGCAAGAAAAACTTCATAAACAATAAATATTAATAACTTCAAAGAAGAAAATAATAATATTGTATCCATTAAATAAGAATACTCAAAGAATACAAAATAAAAACCAAAAAAATCTGAGAGCAGACCCAAATCATTCAATAAAAGGAGTCCAAAAAGTCCCACAGAGACTACTAAAAAAAGAATGATAGATAATAAGGGGGAAAATATTTTTAAAATTAAGAAATAAATCTAGTTCTATTCAAAGTCCATTCTTTCCCTCCTCCTACTGTAATACCAATTTTTCCATGCTATGTAACCAGTCCTATTAACATATAAACGTGTTCTTAATTCTCCTATCTTAGTTACACAAATTACATTCCTAAACTCCCAGTCTCTCTAGCAGTCACATCTCAGTTCCTCTTTATATAAAAAACAAATAAGCAAACAAAAACTCATATAAGGTGCTGAGAGCCATTGCCAAGTAGGAATGATGCATGGCATGACCCAGGTCATTTGCAGTGACATTGCATGTAAGGTGACCTTGCTCAAGGACCAGGGTGGATCCGGGTTTAGGGTGGATCAGGATTTAGGGTGGTTCCAGGTTTAAGGTGTATCCTGCTGGGAATAGGGTGTATCCTGCAGCCTCAGGCGAGCCGCTCCTTGAGTTCCCCTTGAGTTCTCCTGGGATTCAGAAAGTATTTGGGATTCAGAGCCTGGTGGAGTGTGTGGATTTTGCCCAGAACGTGGATTTCCCCAGAACGTGTGTAGAGTGCAGGTGTGAGTTCGGGAATAAAGAGTTGCTGTTTGAATCTACAAGGTGTGAGTGGCTCGTGATTTTGTGCCCAGCCAGACTGCGGCAATAAGGAAGGCTGGAGATTTAACTCAGTAGAGAGTCTGTCTACCACATACGGCAGGCTTCCTTCCCTAGCTCCACAAAACTAAACAAACTCATACAAATAGCTGCCTATTTGCTGTCTTACATTGCCTTTTCTATGCTTTCTTTCAAAAACTTTCTATAGTGGAAAATTTCAAACATATCCAAAATTAGAAGAATATAATGTGCACCCTTATATCTAACACACAGAGTCAACAATAATCAATTAACAGCCAATCTCATTTACTCTATAACTCCATTCACTTTTCTCTCAATTTTATTCTGAAGCAAATCATAAATAACATCATATCCTCACACATATAAATATTTTATATCTTTAAAACAACTTTTAAAAATCATAATACTAGTATCACATTAAATAGTGGCTAATTACTTGATATTATCAAATATTCAATGTTATATCATATTTAATTTTTTGAAAAAGCATCCAAATTAAGTCCACTGCAATTTAAAATCTTAAGTCTCTTTTAAATGTACAGATTTTCTCATCTATCTTTTTTATAGCTTTGAGATATAATTCACAATTTAGAGCGTACATTTCAATCGTTTTTAGTATATTTAGAATGGTAAAATCATCATTGCAATCAATTTTTACATTTTCATTATTCTCAAAAGAAATCAATAGGGCTGGGGATGTGGCTCAAGCGGTAGCGCGCTCGCCTAGCATGCCGCTCGCCTGGCATGCGTGCGGCCCGGGTTCGATCCTCAGCACCACAAAGATGTTGTGTCCACCGAGAACTAAAAAATAAATATTAAAAATTCTCTCTCTCCTCTAACTCTCTCTAAAAAAGAAAAGAAATCAATACCCTTCAGAGGCCGAGGCAGGAGGACTGCAAGTTTGAAGTCAGCCTAAGCAATTACCGAGGTCCTATGCAACTTAGTTGAGATCCTATCTCAAAATAAAAAGGGCCAGGGATGTGGCTCAATGGTAAAGCCCTCTGAATTCAATCCCCAGGACCAAACCAAACCAAACAACAATGACAAAAAAAACCAAACAAACAAAAAAAAAAAACCACCCAATACCCTCTAACAATAACTTTTCATTCTTCTCACCCCCTACTTCACCTAGACCACCAATCACTAATCTACTTTCTATCTCTATAGGTTTGATTATCCTAGATATTTCATATTAACAGAATCACATTATCTTTAATCACTAACGTCTTTTACTTTCCATATTTTAGAGGTTCATCCGTATGTAGAGTGTACCAGTATGTCAGTGTCATTCATTTTAATTGTAGAATAATTCTTATTATATGGATATACTACATTTTACTTATCTACTGTTTAATTGATGAGCTCATTTCTATTTTTATCCCCCCCATTTATTTGTTGAAGATACCTGTTCATTTGTCTTATAGAGGTTCCCATAGTTTGAAATTTGCTAACTGCATCCCTTTGGTATATTTTAATATACATGTTCCTATCAATAAGTATCTGGATCAAGAAGCAACGATCTTCATGATTTAAAAAAATTTTTTTTCAGTCGTCAATGGATCTTTTATTTTTCTTATTTATTTATATGCGGCACTACGGATCCAACCTAGGGCCTCACACATGCCAGGCAAGCGCTGTATCACCGAGCCACAATTCCAGCCCTTCATGATTTTTATATATACATATTTTCTTCCCCCCTCTCTTAAGCAAGATCATTTCACAGGTAATATTTTTCCACTGAGAAGCACACCGATATCTCGGTATCCCTGTGATGTTAGCAACCACTGATGCTCACTGTCCAGACCCATTCTTTTCACACTCACTCCCAATTCTGGACATTCTGTATCTGTCCAGTGAGAAGTCCAGATCAGATTCTGGATGTACTTTGAAGGTAGAGCTAGCATGATTTTCTGTGGAAGTGAAGGAAAGAGGATTCAAGGAACACTTCAAGGTTTGGGGCCTGAGAAGCTGAGGGGTGTATATATATTTTGTACCTACCACTTCACTGTAAAATTGCTTATCAAGGTCACCAATACCTACAACAGGGTGTGCAAAGGCCAGTTCTACCTTCATCTTACTTAACCTACTGTTGGTATCTGACCAAGTTAACTTCTTCCTCTTTTATTTTCTTTTGGTGGCGGGGTAGGGGTACTGGGAATTGAATTCAGAGGTGCTTGACTACTGAGCTACATCCAAAGCCCTTTTTAAATTTTTTTTTGTTGTTGTTTTAAGACAGGATCTCACCAAGTTGCTGAGGCTGGCCTTGAACTTGCAATCCTCCTGTCTTAGAATCCCATGCCACAGGGATCACAGGCATGTGCCACCACACCCAGCTAATCCTCCACCCCACTTTTTAGAGGTTTTTAGTTGTAGATGGACATAATACTTCTATTTTATTTACTTTTATGTGGTGCTGAGGATCAAACCCAGTGCCTCACACATGCTAGGAAGTGTGTTCTAGCACTGAGATACAACTACAGTGCTGATTACTTCCTCTTAAAACATAATTTCCAGAATGCCAATCAATGCTTAATTTCCTCTTCTCTGTGTCTATTCTTCCTTAGTCTCTTTGCTGGTTCTTTCTCTTTCTTCATCAATTAATGTTATAAAGCTGCAGGGCTGAATCCTTGGTCCTCTTCTCTAGATAGACTCACCCCTGTGGTAGTGTTCCCCTTATTTTTAAATAACATTTACATGTTGAAAATCTCCAGATTAAAAATTTCCAGTCTGAACCTCTTCCTTGAACTTCAAAAATGTATAGGGGTCGTTCACTTTTCAATTTCAGTTACCCATGGTCAAACTTGGTCTGAAAATATCAAATGGAAAATTCCAAAGGTAAGCAATTGATAAGTTTCAGATTGCATGTAGTTCTGAGTAATGTGAATTCTGTAATAAAATCTCATGCTGTCCCACTCTGTCCCACCCAGGAATTGAATCATCCCTTTCCCCAGCAAATCCAAACTGTATTATGCTATCTGTGTCAGTGGCATCTCAGTCATGATCAACTGTCGCAGTGCTGTTCAAGTAACTCTTATTTTATTTTATTTTTTTAGAGAGGAGAGAGAGAGAAAGAATTTTTTAATATTTATTTTTTAGTTCTCGGCGGACACAACATCTTTGTTGGTATGTGGTGCTGAGGATCGAACCCGGGCCGCACGCATGCCAGGCGAGCGTGCTACTGCTTGAGCCACATCCCCAGCCCCAGTAACTCTTATTTTAATAACAGCCACAAAGTGCACAAGCAATGAGCCAGCAATTTTATTTGAGTATATGTCATGACTGCTCTATTTTATTAATAGTTATTGATAACTTTACTATGCCTTTTATAAATTAAACTTTATAATAGATATGTATATATAGGAGAAAAACATAATATATACAGTGTTCAGTACTGTCCAGTTTCAGGAATCTACTGTGGGTCTTGGGATCTCTGTAGATAAAAGAGGGAGTACTGTATATCCAGTTACTGGTTTGACAGCTGCATTTGAATATTCAATGAAAGTTATATGAAAGTCAAATAGAACCTGACCAAAAATTATCTCCTTATCTTCCCTCCCAAAGTGACTCTTCCTACATCTATACCTCTCTATCTGTTCAGACCTAAAACTTGAAGTTATCCTTGGTGACTCTCTTTCCTTCACATCCACAGCAAATCTATCAGAAAATTCTGCTAACACTACTTTCAAAACACTCCACAGTTTGATCACTTCTCATTACCTCCACAGGTACAATCCTGGTCATATTGCCAGCATTTCTCATCTAGATTATTTCAAAAGCCTCTTCACAGATGACTGTGCCTCCACTAGTACCCCTGAAGTCTAGTTTAAACACAGTTTTGTTGAACACTATCGTTAAAACACCTGCCATCATTGTCCAACTAAATGTCAAATCCTTATATCAGCTTGTTAGGGCCTCCAAAACCTCCCAACCACTGAAGTTTAATGTCTAAACCTACTCTCTTCCTTTACTCTGATATAAAATTGTAACCTAACCCCATTTTCTACCCACTAGCACTCTATTTCTCGTTCCTGGTTAACTTTTTTTTTTCTTCTTCTTTTGTTTGGTGCTGTGGATTGAATTTAGGGTCACTTTAACATGGAACCAATCCCCAGTTCTTTTATGTTTTTTTTTTATTTTGGCACAGGGTTTCACTAAGCTACTTAGGGCACTAAGGACATAGCCTGCTTTACTTTTCTCTAAAATATACTATCAATTTCCAAAATACTATTTAATGTACTTTTTGTGTAGGAGACATTCTCTATTTTGAAATTTTCTCTTTTTTTGGTACTGGGATTGAATATTTTATTTAGAATTAGGATCTCACTAAGTTACTGAGGCTGGCTTTTGAGCTTGCAATCCTCACGCCTTAGGCCCTCCATGAAACTTTCTCTTTAGAAGTTACCTGGTCTTCAGTTAAGCACTTTTTTTTTTTTTAAACAGGGAAAAACAAAAGTGTTATATATAATAGTGCGCTTTATTATAAGTTGAAAACTGCTTAAACCGAAAATAATTGGTAGAAACCAATTCTGCTTTGACCAAACTATCTAAAGCTAAGCCATTGAACTGGGGAAGGCTCAACTCTCGACCACTTTACATGTTATTCCAATTAATTTAAAATTACACCCCCCACCCCACCAAAACCAAACCAAACCGTTCCACTCCGGTCAAGTACCACATTTTGAAGTGATTACCAAATTAAACCACGACTTTAAAATGCAAAATGCCTGATTGTTTTAAAAATGAAAAAAAAAAATACACTAGTTGAGTTGTAGGGACTGTAATTTAAACTCACGCTCCCGAGGTAGCGAAGGACTGGTATTTTGGACGTTTTGACTTAACCGAGCCAATTCTACTCTCTCGACGGCCCGGTGTTGAGTTACGCGGAGGATACAAAACTACAAAGGCCAGTCTCCCCAGCGAGGGAAGGGCAGATTGACGGGTTTCTGGCACCTTAGATCAGAAACTAAGCACGACCGGCTCTGTTTACACATTTTAAGAGGAAAACTATACCGCCCGACAGACGGCTCCAAACTCTCCCGAAGAGCGAAGGAAGGGCGGCAGGTGGCAGACAGCCTCTGCGCCTTTGTTGACGGTCGCCGCCCCCCATTTTCCCTACCCGAGTATAAACAGATTCCGAGGCCTTTGACGCCTCGGGAGTGGGGGCCGCGAAGGCAGCGGAGGACCGCACTGAGGCTTCCGGCCAGCTCGGGAGACTAGCTGGGCTGGGCTTGGCTGGTCCGGTCCGGGCCAAGCGCGGAAGGGAGTGGTGGGCGCGCGCGGGGCTGAGATTGCGTCGCGGCCTCACCTTGGACACCATTTTCTTGAGCTGGCTCTCCGACACCGCCATGACGGACGCCTAGCGACTCCGGTCCCGGCAGGCAGAGGGTCAGCCGCTCCCGGGCCGCCCAGGCAGCCCAACACAATCGCACTCCAAGCGGTCAGCCCCCCACCCCCCACCTCTAACAACAGGAAGTCATCACCACCACAGCACTTCCACTTCCGCTACGTCGCTTCCGAGGCCGCGTTCCTGCGGAGAGTGTTGTACGCGCTTAAGCGGCGGAGTTCAGTCATAGTGTGGGTTTATATCAAGTCGCCTCTGCCGTTGCCGTACTCGACCGACTGACTCCCAAAAATGAGGGCAGGTGTACTCCGAGTGTCGAGGCTCTGGGCTTGGATAAGACTGGCAGGTATTTCAGTCACCTTAAGACTTAGGAAGCAGGTGCAGGAAGGGCAAGAAGTATGATGGACTTTCAGTGAGCACTAACGACTGATTCATCAAGTGGAAGGGTACTGTACTGGCAGAAATGTTCTGCTACCGACTTACTCTTGTGAGAATAGTAGGCAAGTACACTTCTAGTTTCGCCTTTATTTTTTTTTCCTTCCATCTCTAAGATGAGCGGCTTACATTAGAAGACGCCCAAGATTTCTTTGGTTATCAGGTGTTTTTGTCTTTTTAAAAAACTTAAAAATCCTCCATACTACTTTTGCAAGGGCGAAGTGTAGAAAGCCTTTGTTTTTCAGGAAGCCAGACAATAATTTCTTCACCAAGATACCTTTCCTAAGTTAGAACTTTTCTTGTCTGCCTAGACGCAGTTGAAAATACAGGCTACATTCTACCTTGCTTTGTGTTCAACTACCAGCCTGTCCACAAAATACAAGTCCTTGGGGGCAGGCGTATTTTCAGATCTTCATGGTCTTGTATAGTGCAAGGATAGGTAGTGAGCCTTTCGGAAGATCACAAGTTCAAGGCCACCTCAGCAATTTAGCAGAGACCCTGTCTTAAAGTAAAATAAAGGGACTGAGGATGTAGCTTAGTGGCAGAGCACCCTTGGGGTTATGGTAACTTGTGTTTTTTGTAATACTGGGGATTGAACCCAGGGGTTTGTGCATGTTATGCAAGCACTTTAACCACTGAGCTACATCTCCAGGCCTTATTTTATTTTGATATAGGGTCCTGTTAAGTTGCCTAGGCTTGCCTTGAAATTCCTTTCCTCCTGCCTCAGCCTCACAGAGTTCTAGTATTACAGACATGTGCCACCAGGCTTGGCTCGTTATAATGAATTATATTAGTCATTTTTCCACATCATCACCAGTTTTACAAGCACAGTGTCAAAGTATTGTAAAACTTAGGTTTGATTATGTGAAGTATGATTCATTTGAATGATTTTAATATAGTACTGATGAGAACAGACTATGGTATTGATTCCCTTCTAAGCTGGCATCTAAGTGAAAGTCACAGACACAGAAGGGCCTAATTGAAAGTATGTGGAGATATTATAAAGTGTTGTCAATACAGACACATAAAGGCAATTTAAGAGATATATATTATTCCTGGACAACCATATGTTAGCTCTAGTCAAACCAAAAGGTCAGTTCTACTGCTCCTGCTTAAAAATATGTTTTTCAAAATGTTCTCAAAGTCACAGCTTGTTCAGAAGTAACTTCAAGTAGAACAACAACAAAAAGTTTTGCTAAAATAATTTTTAAAACTTTGAAAACAGTTGATAAAATCCAATCTCATTTTAAGAGTCACTTAAGTAATTAAATGTACTGGGTGCTATGTGAATTATATGAAACAAATCTCCAAATCTGAACAAACTTCCTTTAACTTGAATAAATCAGGCATCACATGGTGAATTTAAAAATCAAACTTTATTCATTATTCTTGATATTTAAGGAAAACAATATAAATTGGAAAGTAAAAATATATCTTCTACTATAGTATCACAAAAGCATTTTTAATACAAGCCCCACTAAAAATCATAACAAGAAGAGGCACTGCATAATTATGGAAAAACAAAAAAGTGAAAGTTAACAGAAGCACTGAATGTTGAATTATCACCAAATCATAGTGAGGTGGTAGTTGGTGGTAGTTGCTTCTTGACATATATGTGGAACTTAATTACTAATACTCAATATTCAAGGGAATGTCTGAAGCAGAATTACTTCTATATTGTGGCCTTCTAGAGGGTAAGGACCATTGTTCATCTTGGAATATTCAAATTCTAACACAATATTTGGAATAACAGTAGGTACTCTAAATGTTGTGTTGTCATGTTCCTGTTATAATTAATGTAGTGAACTCTTGGCAATTTATCTAGGAGACAGTAATATTTTGCAGTTAGATTGTTGTTCAAGAATATATTAGAGAAAGGAAAGAAAAAAGTTATAAATTAAGATTTTAGAAATTACCAAATTTTTGATTAGTTATCACTTATTATAAAAGGCTAGTTAAAAATATAAGATATGTTTCTTTCAGTTTTACTATTTCATAAAAAAGGATACATTGTTAGAGTAAAACCAAAATAATCAAATCAAATCAAATCAAATGCTTATCTCTTCAAATATCCAAATGGTTTTTATAGTGCTGGAATAGTACCCAGAGTCTGTGTGTGCTAGGTAAATGCTCTACCACTGAACTACACCCCCACCCCAAATGTCCACAATTTTTATCCAGTTAATCTGGTGGGAATCTTTCCAAGCATATTAAATACTTTTTTACTTTCTTAAACATGGGATACTGAATGTTACCTTAATTACTGAAGTTCATCACTTTTATTAAGTGAGCATTAGAATGACTGTTTACCCTCTACAATGTGTCTACCCTTATAAACCATTTGGCTCCTATCTCTCTGCCCAGATTTGTATGTACCTATTATGTTTACAAGACACTTTGGATTTCTTCACGGTACTTACTACAATTGGAATTGTACATATGTAGGATTTGATTTATTGTGTTTCCCATACTAGATTATAAGGATCAGGAATGCTTGTACCTCGTCCAGGCATATTCACCGTTAGTGCCTGGAGTATAATAAGTTCCAAATAAATAACTAGATGACTAAATAAAAGCCTATCTCAGTTCATAGCTGCCTCTGCTGTTTGCTGAGGACAGATTAGGAAGCTAGGGAATTAGTCTTTCTAAAAATTTTTGTTTTTTAAAAGTAAACTTTTAGAGAATGAAAGTAATTTTTCCTAGTATTTAGGACCTCAACTTTAGGGTCTTGTGATCACTATTTTGGCCGTTAAGCATTTTATCCCTATTAGTACCTTAAAAAAGTAAAGACTATAAATTTTAACTTTCTCCTATATAAGATGATGATAATAGACCCTACCTTAGTGGGTTATTATGAGGATTCAATAAAATAGTAAAGTGCTAATTATAATTCCTGTTATATAGTGTTGATGTTAGCTGTTACTATTAGTTGTGTATCAAAATAGTAATAATATGCTCTATTTAACTCATGAAAACATTATTAATGAGGGGCTGGGGCTGTAGCTCAGCAGTAGAGCACCTGCCTCACAGGTGTGAGGAATGTTCTAGCCTTAGCACCCACATAAAAATAAATATTATGTCCATCTACAACCAAAAAAAAAAAAATTTAAAAACATTGTTAGTGATTCATTTCTAAAGCATATGTACTCTGAATTGTTTCTTCTGGAGTGGTTAAAAGATTTGCTCAAAACCATCAGTCCACTCAGCCTCTATCCCTTAAGACCAATGGTTTTTATGAAGTCTTCATATTTTGGCTTTAAAAGAAAAGGTTTTACTCATAATCTGTTTCTACCAAAACATACATTTCTTCCATGCTTCTACTACTATCACATGTCATGTGGAGGATCTTATATAGTCCAAGAAGAAGTTATAGACAATTTCAGAAAGGAAATCCTACTGGAAATTAAATTACATATACTTTTTCTTTATATGTTAAAAATTTTACATTTGCCTTTTACTATTTTAAAGTGCATATAAAATTCTTTCCCAGTTCTGGTAGCTAATGAATTTGAAAAGGAAAAGAAAATGTCTTACCATTATTACCAACCATATTTTGCAAAACAACATCAACATTAAACTATTAATCTTTTGAATATGCACCTAGCACAGATTTTATAAATAAGGCCCATTCTGGATCTTTAGGTTATCATATTTATTATAAATGTCAAAAAGTAACCTTTATAAAATGCATTTCTCTCAGTATACTATCTCCAAAGTGATTAGTGTGCTTTGAGTTTGGGGTACACAATTTAAAATATTACACACTGCAGATGCATGTTTGTCCTTGTTGTAACTTAAAGAACAGTATAGATATGTTAAGCATCCCGAATGAAATTAGATTTTTTTCTCCTTCCTTATCTAACTCCTTCAGGATCAAATGACAAAGCTAACCAAGAAACCATCTACCTTAACCAAGCAGTTTGTAAGATAAATAAGACACAGACATACTCAAATCTAATATATGTTGGCAAAATTAAATGATCTTTTCTTTCAGGTAACTGTGTTTGAGAGTCAAAGTTTTAACTGTTGTTGGAGACCATGGATTGAGGATGCACTGCTTTGGAGTTTCTCAGTCACTGTGTCTTCCTTCACTGTGGTTTTAATGACTTCAGATACTCCATTAGTTCCAAGGATGCAAGGTAAACTTAAAAACACTTCACTATTTATATCATAATATCCCTAAAATGAAAAATATAGGGATTATAATAGAAGTGAATCACTGCAAAAAAAAAAAAAAGGTCATATCATAAGAAAAAGATGGACAAAGTAGATTCCTTGGAGAGGGACATCCCATGGAATCTGGGTACAATACAGTAACCTTTTTTAAGTTTTCTTTTCCATATTGTATTTCGCTCCTGGTATTCTAAGTCTTCACGAAAGTCTGATTAAGTATTTGTGTTTCATCTTAGCTATACTCTAGGGAATTTATGCTCTGGGTAAAAGCAGCAAAAGACAGACAATTGGAGAAACAGACTGATAACTAGCTGAGACAAGTTGGCACATCAGTTTGAGGTGATGTGGCTGGCTGATGTAATAAATCACAACCAGAAGTTGTTTATGGAATATATAAACACTGCTTGGAGATTCCCAAAAATTACATGAGGGTGAGAGGACAACCTGGTAGAGATCCAGATTTCTCACAGTTAAATAGCATAGGGCTTAGGTTGAAGTGCCTCCTCCAACATCTTACACTGAAAGCTGGTGACATTGAAGACACCTGCATTAGAGTGTGAACAACAGTTTTGCTGGTTTTATATTATTAATATGAAAGTTTAAAATATGAGACAATGAGAATAGCCATTACCTTTGCTAAAATTGATACAGAATGTACTTTCTTTTTATTGTTTACAATACTGTCGACCAGGTCAGCTACAGATAGTCCAACAGACCAGGATCTTTGACCTTTTACCTTTAATAGTTCCATGGCTCTAGATTATAAAAAACAAAACAAAAAAAGACCTTAGAAAATGCAAAAAATATTCACCATTTAGTTTTACATTCTGTTTAAGGCATTAACTAGGTGTTTTTATGCACAGAAATAAGAGTTATACAGCAATGGTTTTAGGAAGGCTTTCAGATAATTGAATGATTATTTAAGCTTTCCTTAAAATGTCAGATTCGTAGTTCACAGAGAGAACATACAGATGCTTTAAAAGATTCTCACCACCCTGATGATTTAACTAATTAGGAATTAAAACAATAAATACCAGTTTTGCCTATTACCCCTGGCAAAGATTAAAAGTCTGATAACTAAATTTGAAGAAGCTATACATAGGCATTCCTATAACTACTGTTGAGAGTATAAAGTGATCTAAGATTTTAGAAAAATTTGGCAACATCTGATCTAAAAATTATTCTTCTAGGAATTTATCCTATAGTAATATACTCAAATGTGTAAAGATATACACATAAACATGTTTTCTGTATTTGGAAACAACTCATCAAAAGGGGACCATTAAATAAATCATTACCGGGCTGGGGTTGTGGCTCAGTGGTAGAGTGCTTGCCTAGCATGCATGAGGCACTGGGTTTGATCCTCAGCACCACATAAAAATAAAATATATCATGTCCACCTAAAACTAAAAAATAAATATTTAAAAAATAAATAAATAAATTATTACCAAATGTAGTTATCATATAGCTTTTATTCTTAAAAATAGGTAGCCAGTGGTATACGCTTGTAATTCCATTGACTCGGGAAGCTGAGGCAGGAGAATTGCAAGTTTGAGGCCAGCCTCAGCAACTTAGCAAGACCCTGTCTCAAAGTAAAAAACAAAAATTTAGAAGGGCTGGGAATGTATCTGAGTGATAAAGCACCCCAGGTTCAGTGCCCAGTACTGGAAAAATAACATCCTACCAAAAAGACCCCTGAAAAATTAGATACTAGATTGTCATGTATAATATGGAAAAATATCACAAATTTATGTTTTAAAATAAATTTCCAAGACAGGGTAAGTAGCATAAGTCTATTATAAAAATAATAATAATATGTTTGTAGAAGCATTAAAAAAAACTGGACACTAAAACTTCTCTGGAAGATAGATTTACCCCAGCTTTTTACATTCTACTTTATAAATATCTGTAGTATTTGAAGTTTTATAATAAGCATATGTTATTTTTGATAAAAGAACCATATAAATTAAACAATCATTTAAATTTATTCCTTTCAAAAGGTATAGGGAGGAGCTGGGCATGGTGGTGCATATCTGTAATATTAGCTACTTGGGAGGCTGAGGCAGGGTGGTCATAACTTTGAGGCAGCATCAGCAACATAGTGAGACTGTGTCTCTAAATAAAATAAATAAATATAAAGGGCTGGATGTAGCTCAACAGTAGTGCACCCCTGCATTCCATCCCCCATACCACAAAAATGATAAACTGCAGGGAATATTGCTTAGTGGTAGTGTAAATAAATGCTTAGCATGCTCGAGGCCCTGGGTTTAATACCCAGAACCACCAAACAAATAAAAATCTATAAATTAGGATTATATAATCAAATTAGAATGAATCATATCACACTAATCTTCTAAATAAGTAGGAAATTCCAGTCGTTATATTCTAAAAAACATAAACTGAAAGTTTAAAAGCTAAAATCCTGCTCAGTGTGGTGGTATAGTTCTGTAATCCCAGCAACTTGGGAGGCTGAGACAGGCAGATCACAAGTTTGAGGCCAGCAACATAGTGAGCTATGTCTCAAAATTTAAAAAAGGGCTGGGAATGTACCCAGTTCAAAAGCACCTCTGGGTTCAATCTTTAGTTACTACAGTA